CATATTAAAATTAGCAAAAAAAAAAAAAAGTTTACCAGGAATATTATCTTAGTGTACCTATTATCTAGACAATCAGAGGAATTCACAGCTTGCTCCTTCTGGCAAAGGCCATTATTTGGGCTCGATAGGTGGGGCCGAGACGCAGTGCCTCCAGCTGTTCGCACTCGGCGTCCAGGGCGTCGAGCAGCTGCTGGCGCCATGGCTGCAGCAGCAGCTTTTTGGAGCTGCGCAACGAGGCGGCCGGCAGTCGGGAATGCTGCTCCATGCGCCTCCAGAACTCCTGCTCGTCGGTTACCAGGCTGGCGATCATGCCGTGCTGCAGTGCCGTCTTGCCGTCCAGCCGCTCGCCGAACAGCAGCAGCTCCGCTGCCTTGCTGCGGCCCAGCAGCTGAGGCAGCGTCCAGCTGGTGGCGCCCTCGGCGCACAGGCCCAGCTGCGAGAAGGGCATCCAGAACTGGGCCGATTCCGTGGCGTAGATAATGTCGCACAGCGCGCAGATGACAACGCCCAGGCCAATGCAGTTGCCCTGGACCAGGGCCACCAGGACCTTGCGATTGTTCAGCATCTTCTTCACCAGCGACTTCATCACGTAGTTCGAGGCGCGAAAGTGCAGGTCCAATGCCTCGGTGCCGCTCTTCCGCTGGAGCGCGAGCAAATCGGTGAGGTCGTTGCCCGACGTGAACGCCTTTGCATTGCCCGTCAGCACAACGAGGCTGACCGTCTCGTCCGCATTGGCCACGTCCAAGGCGCGCAGCAGCTCGTAGACGGTGCGACGGCGCAGCGCATTCTGCACCGCCGGCCGATTGAATTGAATCTCCAGGAGCGCACCGCGACGCTCCAATCGCAGCTCCCTGAAAGTTTTGAAATTGGCCGTCGGAGTGGCCGGAGCAGCGTTTCCACCTTCACTCATTGCAACGTTGGAGAACAGACTAGTTCACTTCACCTAAGTGCTGAGTGCGGCAAGCGCAGCGCACAAACAGATCGTAGCTACATATGTGCATACACACACACACACACACATCTACACACGCACACATGAGGCTGGTTATCAACATCGACGCAAAGTCGAGGAGGTCGCTCAGCAGCTATCGCTGATGTTGCTTGATCCAAAGTTCAGTTTTGCAGCAGCAAGAGCAACTTCTCCTTCTCCTTCTCTTTCTCCTTCTCCCGCTCCCGCTTCTTCTCTCTTTCCACTTTCTCTCTTTGTCAACTGAATCAACAAGCACAAGAACAAGCACAACAACTTGCTCCGGCAACACATTCCATAAAAAGAGCTGAACATATTTCGTATTTTGTTATTGAATGGTAAATGTTCTGAGAAGCACCGACCTAGAAATACCCTTTAATTCATGTTGATTAATGGAGCAATAGTAATGCAGCTAAACTAAATTACTTTTTAAGACGTTTTGAACGTTGAGCTATAGCTTGCAATTTTGTAGTTATGAAAAATATGGATTGTTTATACTATAACCCAATTTAGCGAACTTGATTTCACAGTTCCATATGATTTAAATACCCTTAATGAAGAAGCTCGATTTCATAATTCCACATTGAGGGTATATATTATATATATTATATTGAAATCAGCTGAGTTTCAGCGAGTTTCAGCTGAAATAATATTATTATATATAACATATAGTACTTTTTTATACCCTGAACCCATTATCTATGGGAAATCATTGTTAGGAAAATTTAATTATAGTACATAACAAATGTTTTTCTGAATTATTTATATTTCAAGATTAAGTTCAATTTTGGCAGAGCCTGAGAAAACAATCTACAGAGTTTATATAATAATATTATTTTTTTCATTACAAATACAATCTATATAGCTTATACTAGTTCCTAACCGACTGCACAGTAGTCAGCTCTGATCTGGGCTAGCAATCTTTCCACTTCATTCATTCAATCTCAAAATTAGATTTTTAGATCGAAACTATTCAATCCAAGAAATTTACAATCGAATATCAAGAAATCTACATCCAAGATATGATATTACAATTACAAAGCCAATATATGCTACAATCAAGATAACTATATTGCATTTCAGTAATACATATGTATATATGAAAAAAAAGAGATATAATTAGATAAAATAAGTACACTAAATTAATAAGAATACATATTTTAAACCGTTCAAATTGTTCTCTATATCAACTCCGATCGAACGCCTCACTCTGCTGTCTGTTACAAACGCCAGCTGATATCCCTAATGCTCCATTTACAACAGCAGCGTATTGAAACTCGTTTGGAGAGTGTCTTGTAATTCTGTAGCTGCATATTTGATATGCTATAAATAAAGGCATGTGCAGCCCTGCAGAGCCAATGCGCGGCACAGAGAGAGAGGCAAGACACGCGAGCCGGTTGCATGAGATAGCGATATCAATGTGTTTCACAGGCAGCTAAGCAGCTTGAGTGCTTCTATATAGCATAGGTGTATATATAGTAAAGCAAGATTGAGAACTGATCTTCGGCAACAATGAAAGTAAACAAAGAATTAAAATTGCAAATAATTATATATTGATTAGAGTTTGTTTTTCACTTAAATCCATGACTTAATATCTTGCAAACAGTGGATAAAAAAATTAAGTTACTTTACTTGAATGATTCAGATGTCGATCTATGTACACTTGGTTGCGCCACGCAAATGGCCATCTCGGGGAGCTGGCATTCGTAAGAGCGGCATGTAAATTAATTCTTAGACTAAAAGTAATTTAAAAACAGTTGGCGCTGGCCATCGTGAAGCACTTGACCGACCGCACCACAGTGCTTGTGTGGTTTCTCTCTGTCTGCTTTAGCTAGTGCTCATCCAGGTGGGAGAACTTCTTTCGCAGCTTCTCGCGTCGCTCCTTTTTGACGTTGCGCCAGGGCTTGGCGGGCGCCTCGCCAGCGACGAGGTTGCCATCGTTTGCCAGGCGCACATGCGGAAAGTTGGTGCGACCCTTTACATGGGCAACGCTTGGCTTGGAGGTGAAGAACTGTTGATCTAGTTCCTTGGAGGAGCTCTTATCGATCTGTGAATAAATGCGACTTCAGTTGTGGTCCAGAAAGGCTGATCTAGCTGTCAACTTACGCGCATGGCTCGTTGCTGTTGTCCAGGCAGCTGTGATTCCTCAACCGGCTTACGTTGACGCTCGGGAAATTTGTGATATTCGGACTGAAGCACAGACGGTGGGCCTAGTGCAAACAGCAGCTTGCCATTGACGTAGTCCTTCAATACATAGCGAGCTGAGCGCGCCTGATCTGGCTGGCCATTTGAGGTCATGAAACCGCGATTATCTGCGAAATGTTTCATTGAATTTAGTCTGTGACACCGAAGACAAGATTTCACGTTTTACTTACAGCCATAGGCAAGCAACAGCTCCTCGGCGAAAGGTGGACGATTCGGATCCTCGCCCTCCAGGGGCTTGGCTATCACAATGCCGTACTTATCCTCGAGCACATGACGAGGTATTCGCTCGCAGAGCAAATTCACGGCGGGCACATGATCGCGCATTTGATCAATTGGCAATATGCCATTGAGCAACATGTCGGCCTTGGTGAGCACAAAACTGGGCATCACCAGGCCGGGACAATCACAGAGCAGAATATCCTTGTCCAGGAAGAGCGTCTGGAAACGCTTTGTCTTGCCGGGCGTCGCAGACACGGACACCTTCTTCACAGTCATCAGTGAGTTAATCGTGCTGCTCTTGCCCACATTCGGGTAGCCCACCATGCCAATGGTGACATGCTGTGCAGTGTGCCTCGGACCATTATAGATGTGGCGCAAGAACTCGATGAGCTCTGTGCGAGAGAGCAGATGTGCGCTGTTCTTGTCTGTGGGCAGCTTGGGCAGCTTGGGTTCTGTTATTACTGCCGGTTCACTCGTGGTTCTCATCTTGCTCTCTATGGCTTCCAGTGCGTGCTCGACCACGTCCAGTGATTGCTGAATCTCCTCAGCCGCCTCGCGCAGCTGCTTCAGCTCCATCGCTGATGACGGCGACTCATCAGCATGTTTGGCAGCCTCAGCTTCCCGCTTTAACTCCTCCTCCACCAGGGTGGCGGAGTAAAAGGCAGTGCGTATGCCCTCACAGTCGAAATATTGTGCCCAGTGTTGTCGCTGTTCCAGCGTCAGCAAATCTGATTTGTTCACCAAGATCATATTCATTTTGTTGCTGTCCACCTCCTTCACGTAGCGTTCCAGATCGACGCTACGAAATAGCAACGGATTACGTGCATCCACAATCTGGACAACGACATCTGAGCGCTCGACGACACGCCACAGCTGGCGCCAGAATTCGAGATTCTTTTCGTACGGAGTCATAAGGATCTCTTCGTTCTCCTGCAGCAGTGCTAAGTCCCGACGCCAATTAAGGAAGGCTTCGTTTTCGGCACGCTCCAAATCTTCGGCACTCATTTCCTTGGTCCATTTGGGACGACGTGGAATTTTCAGCTGATCACGATGCTCGGCATGCTTTTGGTGCATCGTCTGCTCCTGTGTCTTGCTAAGTAGACCCACACGCTGCTTTGGATTAACGAACGTAATGTTCAGCTTCTCGGCCTGAAATTCCGTGCCCGCCAATTCTGCAGTGCGTAAAAATGCATTGAACGACGACTCCTCGGTTACGGACGACAGATTTAGGCGACCCCAATCGTAGCCATCCTGCAGCTCTGTTGTGTGTAGCTGCATGTTTATATACGCATAGACATGTAATTAGCTAATTGCATGCAGTGGAAGAATTTACTACGCACCATTGTGTCGTTGTCCACCTTGCGTCGTGGCGTATGGCCAAAGCGATCTTTAATTAGCTGACGGCCCAGATTGGTGCCAGCTTTGTTCTTTTTGCCCATTTTGGCAACGGATATTGGTTACAGTTAAATTAATAAGTTAATAAAAACGAAACACGTGCGACTGTGTGAACTGAAACTTTGGATTTTGCTTCAGACTTATCGATACATCTGTACTATTGGTATTTGTGCGATACAATACCAAATAAATACTAAAAACACTGTTATCGGTATTCTGTGACACCTAGTATTATATCGTTTATTTAAATATGCAAAGTGAAGTTGTTTAAAATAACTTATAACACACATTAAAAAAAATAAACTGTACATGACATACCTTTATCAGTTCTCCCTGTATATCCAAAATATATGTATGTACACGTGTGAATGGCAATGTACGTTTAAAATGAGTTTAACTTTTTTTTTTTTTGGTATGGCATCGCAGTTTGTTCGAAGTTTCACATTATTCAAAAATAATCCTATGTAAAATACACTTAACTATTACACTTAAAAAAAATAAATGGCTGTAATATGCTGTCTGTGTAAAACAAAATGCACGAAATAAAAAACAGTTAGTAAAATCTTTCATCATCCTCGTCATTCCAGACGATGGGCCAGACGGCATTCCGGGCACAATTGCCGCCCAACGCCTTGCAGAATGTATTGAAGGTGCTCGATTTGCTGAAGCCGAGAATCTCGCGCTCCTCGTAGATGCGGTAGGTGAACGTGCTCTCGTACGTGCCCACAAAGTGGCGGGCATAGGCACAGATTAGCTGATCGACGATGGCCACGCCGCCATCCTTCAACTGCTGTCGCTGCACATTCGATTCCGGCGTAAAGTGCACAAACCGGAATCGATAGAAGAGCTCCTTGAGCTCCAGCAGCTCGTATGGCGTCGCATCGCTTGCCACAAACACTGTGGTCAAGTTGAATGCGCGCAGCAGCTGCTTTATCTGCTGTGCCGCCGCCTTTAGCGTGGGCGTGGTCGATTCCCGCGATCTCACGAAGTCACCTCGCCGAAGATGGGCGCACAGGTAATCGCCGCCGCGTGCATCGCGCTTAGGCCGCTCCAGCTCCCACATGGCGGGTCGCTGCACGCCGGCCGTCGTGTCCGTGGTGCTGAGCGCCATCAGACGAAAGTCCGCGGCCACCTGGTTCAGGAACTTGGCAAAGCGCATCGAGCGCCGCGCCATCCAAAAGTGCTCGTCGCCCCAATTGTCGTGGAGCACGGTCTCGGCGCTGAGCACCGCATAGACACGCATGTCGTCGACATCCTCAATCCCGGACGTATCCTCATCGATGGCTTCGCGCAGCATGCGCTCCAACAGGCCAGCGCTGCCCTGGAACCGCACACAGTGATAGCGGTCATAGCGTAGGAGTCGCTGCTGCAGCAGCGGACCGCCACTGACGGAGTTCTCATTGCACGCTTCGATGCGGCGTCCATTGGAGTCCTCTGGGGTTATGCGCTCGTACTTGTCCCGGAATATGCCCTGCTCCTTCATGATCTCATAGTGGGTCAGGCGAAAGGCCTGGGAGACGTGCACGTAGGGCGGCGCTGGCATACCGAATTGACGGTATTCGGCCACAAATTCGTCGTAGTCGAGGACAGGCGCATAGCGACGCAGGCTGTCCAAGTCGAAAAAGTTGCGCCACATTAGATCGCTCTGGTTCAGGCCATGCGAGTGCCAGTGGTAGAGCCGTGGCCAGGGCGGCAGCACGAGTCGAACATTACGAAATCGTTTGCGGCGTCGCAGGCGACGGACAAAGACCGCCATGCGTATGTACACATCGCGACGCAGATTGAATCCCTCAGAGATGTTCACATCATACAGAATGTACACGGTGCCACGCAACGGCAGTATGGAGCCGGGGCAGGTGTCCTTGGCGGGAAGCCGCCAAAAGAGGCCACTCTGGCAGAAGCTGTTGTTCCGCAGCAGACTGAGCTTAGCTGTCGTTGTGTTATGCGGTGGACGGCCAGACGTGGCCCGTGAGGCAGCGACCAAGAGCAGAACCAGCAGAAGCTCTGACCACTGCACCGGCCACCATCTTTGCATTATTAGCCGCTTTACACACTAAAATAGGCGCTGGCTCACTGCAAAGCAAGAGCTCGGAGTGTTGATCTTATATCGATAGTAAAACAAGTGAAAACTTGGCTTAAAAAATAATTCATGCACTACAAAAACTATCGATACCACACAACTATCACGACAAAATCAGCACTGAACTACAAACTGTTAAATTTAAAATAGTTTAAAGCATGAAGTGAAAATTGTAGAAATTAGTTCATGAAATTATATAAACCTTCTTTAAAAGCAACTTGGCTATATTTAGTTATTCCATCTTAATATCATTATGATTTATTTATTTTTCGAACGACGTGTAGTTGAACATGCGATAGCGATAGTATCTTGTGCGCACAGATAGTTTCCAATGTTTATGGGTATCGATAACTGCTGGTCAGACGACACCGCCTGTATCACTCCTCTTAAAGCGGTACACGTGCCGGTGCTTTAAATTGTTTTGTTTGAATTTATGGGTGATTCTCTTATGCCAAAGAAGAGTTCAAGAAAAACTGCGTGATGAGCTCGCAAAAGCTTGAATACGATGCCAGCCTTGGCGGACATGTGACACTGCCCAGTCATGTGGCCACCTATCACTATGCATCTGGAGTGCTGCAGGAGATCAAATCCATGATCGCAGATGCCCAATTTCCGGCCAGCAGTAAGCTCATCTTTCAAACACTGCCCAAGCATATGCGTCGACGCGCCATGTCCCACCATCCCAAGCGCCTGCCGCGCAAATACCGTGCCGCCCATAGTTCTCAAATGAGCAAAGCAGGCAATCAGCCTGTGAATCGTAAGCGTCCATCCCGCAAGTATCGCCGCCGTCCAAAAAATCTGCTGAATGAATACATACGACGGCAGCGCAAGATCAACTGGCTCGAGACGCACATTTGGCATGCCAAGCGCTTCCACATGATCGATCGCTGGGGCTATCGGCTGCCCTATGCCAGCTGCGACAAGACCTACCGGGCCTGCTATCGCGCTAGTGCCGAGCACTGCCTCCTGCAGGACATTTCCTTTTATAGCTGCGTGCAAATGCTGGGCACTGTCGACCAGCTGCGCCACGGTTTCGGTCGACTCACGAGTCCAGATTGTGGACTGGGCATTGCAGCGCGCACATATTTGAGTGGACGTCGCGAGGGCACCATTCAGCTCTTCGCCGATGACCAGTATCCGGCGGGTGCTCTGCAGAGCGCCAGCTTCATGTGGCGCCCCGCCGAGCAGCCAGAAACGCAGGCACAGCGGACTCTGTGGCTTTGGCTGCATCCAGCTGCCGTTGAGGCGACCCTTGCGCAGCTAATTCAAGTGTTTCAGCTAAAGTCCACAAAACAGGAGAAGCTTCCATTACCCGCTGAATCAGACGACCAAACTCCGCGCTTTGTCACACACACCAAGGCGTTCGAACGTAACAGGAGCTATATCAATAAAGACACTGGCATGGAGATGCTGGTCTTGAACCAGGAATTCAATCGATTTCGTCTAACCGGTCCTCGTTCTCAGTGCGTGCTGGCTGCCAGTCTGCGCGCCAGCCGGCAAAACAGCTCCGAATCATCCACATCCACATCAAAGAAGCTGCTCGATGCGCCCAGCGATCTGCTAGATCAGACCGATTACTGCGAGGCTGCCCTGCAGCTGCACTCGCCCAGCGAAGTCCTATCCAATGTGATACTTGGCGTCAATGTGGTCGATCCGCGTCTGCAGCGACCCAGCAAGCGCACCAAAGCGACCAAACTGTCGTCATCCGTAAGCAAGTCGGTCGAGTTGCTGATGATGCCGCCAGCTAGCCCGCCCTTCAGCGATTTATGGGATCCGGAGCTGCGAGTGCGGCTCAGCGAGCAAATGATGTCGACACATCAATACAATCAACTGCGGCAACGGCACGCCATTGTGCCCGGCGAGCCGTGTGCGTTTGAGGAGCAGATGCAGCCGCTGCCACTGCTGCTCATTCAACGTCCAGGATCTCAGCAGCCGAACTACAAACGCTTGGGCTACGCTGCTGGCTGGGATGTGATTGCACCCGCTCGCTACGGCATGGTGCTCTGGCAGACGCTTATCATGTGGGGCGCCCGTCCTGGCGGGCTGCGTGAATTCGACTCCGTGGCTAGAGAGCTGGGCGTCGACCAGCACCTGCCGGATACTGTCGCTGGTAAGATTCAGTGAGCATTCGGTAATCTAATATTTCTGATATGTTTCGTCTGGCCAGGTTTGGAGCAGGCAGCGAGAACAGCCTTGGAGCGGCGCACCCGCTACTTTCGTCTGCCGCCCAACAAGCGCTGCAACTACCGCAAGCTGGCGGTGGTCAGTCCATTTAAGGCGCCATGGCAATCGCTGGTGCGTGACTGGAATCTGTCGCCTGCCACGCCTGCGAAGAGCTTCTATGTGATGCGCAATCGCGGCCTGCTGCAGCGCCTGGATGGATGCGTGCGCCATCGAGAACCCTTCCCGGATTGCCCCACTGACAACTGTCTCGTCCAGGTGGCATTGCGCTTGCATACACGCGGCAGCCTGGAGAGCAATGCATTGATTTGCCTGCCCTCAAGCCTCGACTGGAAACGCCACTGGCGGCAGTTGAAGCAGGACAATCAGGAGCCGGTGCATACGGAACCCCTGCTCTCGGATGTTAACGAGCGTCTGCGCAAGCAATTGCGCCTGGACCACAAACGTCTGCTCAAGCGTTTGCGAGCGCGTCGTGTGCGCGAAAAGCGGCGCCTGCAGGAGACGAGCACGCGGCGCGTGCACATACGGCCCGCCAAGACGGCATCACTGGTCAGCAAGCAGTCGGCCAAAATGTGCAGCCTCTGGCTGCCCACGGACCCGGCCGAGACGCACGACAGCGTGCGGCGTCAGTGCAGCCGCGAGGTCTTTGGCTATGTGAGCAGCGCCGGCTTCAGCTTCGTGGAGGCAGCCGTTTGTGGCGTCGGCTACGTGACGGTCCATGGATTGCGCCAGCTGCTCCACGAGCGCAAAGCAGACCCAATCCGTGCCAAGGGACAGCCGCTGCTCTGTCTGGTGCGCAATGCGGATAGCCGTGATTATCGTTTCGCACGCCTGCAAATCAATCTCGATTTGTGTGCGGCTGTTTAGCCTTAGAATTACTATTCTGTTAAGCATTGATTAGTTAAATATGTGTGTGTTAAACTCTGCCTGGTTAGGCAACCCATTAAAAGCCCATTGAGATACGAAAACAACTTGAGAATTTGTTGTACATATTTTTAATACTAATTTTATTCAATTTAAAATTACTTGTATGCCATTTCTTTTAGTTCGTATGTAATTCATGTGTGTGTGTGTGTGTGTGTGAGTATGTGTGTGTATGTGTGTGTGTGTGTGTGTGTGTGTGTTTGCGATGCGCTCTGCTTGACCTTTAAGAGCCTAGGCAGAACTTCACATCGACTGAGTGAGAAGCGAATGAATTCGCGTATTGGAAATAATTTTGGTATCTAAAATGCGATAATGATTTAAAAATTGCTTATAACACTTGATTGGGTTATAGCATTCGCATCTATACTCAATTGTCTCAATTGTTCATGTTGTTGTTGTTGTTGTTAATATTATTTTGTAATTATGTATTTATTTAATGTTAATGGTTATGGGAAAATGTATATTAAATGCATGTAAATTTTGCTTAATGCTTTCATTTATATGTATATATATATATATATATATATATATATATATATATATATATATATATATATATGTTGAATGTATGTATATATGCATACATACATGTATATACATACATATATATATATATATATATATATATTTATTTATGTTTTCTTTTGTATTGATTTATTTGAAATTGTTTCTTTAGTTTTCGTTACTGAAATCGCCTTTATATGCATTTATGTATACACGTATATGGAATATATACATACATTCATATGTATATATATATAAATCTCTATATATATATATATATATATATTTATATTGATGTATGATTTATATAATTCATCTATGTATTCATTGATCTTTTGCTGTTATATGCTTCGTATTTCCTTTAGCTTGTGCGTTAAGTTTTTCATGAATTTTATTTAGTTGTTGTTGGATGATGTTGTCGGATGTTGTTGTTGGTTGTTGTTGTGGTTATAGTTGTGCGGATATATCCGATGAAGCGATCGTATTGCTGTTGCTGTTGTTGCTGCTGTTGTTGTTGTTGTTGATTAGATACTGATAGAGTTACACATAATTGCATTATGTCTAGAGACGCGTTCATTGTTAATGTCACTTATAATTATACAACTTAGTTGAAACATTCAATAATTAATGTTGTTGTTGTTTGTTGGTTTGTTTGTTTGTTGTTCTTGTTAATATTATTAAAAATACATAAAATATGATCTTATGTTAAACTAAATACTTTAAGAAAAAACAATTAGATATACATATGTACGATGCATACATACATATATGTATATATATATGTATATGTATGGTATTTTGTATTTATGATTTCCATCGATTTTTGCTCTGCTCGGATCAGCATTCATTCCTTATCGCTTACACACACATACATATGTATGTATATGCATGTATATATAGGTTTATCGATTACTAAAAGCTACACAAGTACATGTTTAACTGAATTTGATTCGCCATTGTATGTATGTATGTATGTATATATCCTTTCATAACTGCAAGAGTTGGATTAGAGTGGACCAAACTACCTACGACTTGACTACATGTTATATTTGATTTGAATTTGAGATTTCTTTGCTTGTGTTTAACATATGTATATATACATACATATATGTGTATATATATATATGTGGGTATATATAGTGTATATATATCTCTATTGATGAGTGCAATGAGTGTATAAATAGATGCATTTCACACTGGCTTCTAAGGATTGGATTGCTTTGCCACATGTATAGAGCTACACATTAACTATATATGTATATATATATATACGTATATATGTATATACGTATGAGCAGTACAAGAGACACGAGGCAGTGTATATAAATTGCCAACAAACAAACACATAAAAAAACAAAAACATGCAACAAATCAGCTCAAAATTTGATATATACCTCCAGATCGGTCGGAAGTATTTCCACATATATATATTATGCATTCCTTTTTTTTTTTTT